ATGTGGGTCTTGCCTTTCCCATTCCAAGCTTCAAGAAGTTTGACTTTGGCATTAAGTTCACAATTGAGCCAAGGTCATGTGGTACATTCCCAACATAGTTTTCTCCTATATAGAATGGAATAATAAAGCTGGCAGATCTTTTTGCTTTGGCGGCAGATTGCTCAAGGCAGAGCAGTATACTTTTGCCATGGCATTGGTATCATACTTCTCAAATTTTCTCTTCTTGGTAACAATCTCCTTGAGAAATATAGCTTATGTGGGTATTTGTTCTACAACTTCAAGAAAAAGAACATTAATGTAGAGCTGGTTAAGAATGTTAACAAACTTCTTGAATTGTATGTTATTATTATGCTTCTTCAGTCTTTGTGGGAAGGGTGAGGGTTTGACTTTTTCTAATGAAGGGGTGGGAACAACATTTTTCGTGTCATTTTTGTTTGTTCCCTCAGTAGTTTTAATGGATGAACCCTCATCCTTATCCTCCTTTACTTGTGTCTCTTCTGGCACTACATGCTCAGCATACACTGTTACGAGGGTTGAATCATCCTTTTTTCATTCCCTCAAACTTATCTTGTACATTGATTTGGGTTCCACTCTTTATAATGAGTGCACTACATTGATCCTTTCCATGAGCTTTAGTAACTTCAGTGTCACTCAGCAGACGACCTGGTTGGCGTTCCTGTAATGTTGCAATAATTTGACCAACCTGACCCTCCAAGGCCCTCAAAGATGAGAGATGTGGGTTTGAAGCAAATCTCATTAATTGTGTAATAAGGCTTCTTTGTTTTCTATGGACGTAGCATTGGTCTTGCAGCATGGTCTTCATGGTTGCTATAAAATCTTGAATATTGGCCTCTAAAGAACTTGTTTTGGATGAAGATGATACTCCCTCATTAAAATTATGCAATGACATATTTGTTTGAAAACTTTGGGAGTCATTGAAATTCTACTTCCTAGTGGGCTGACCAGCATTGTTGGTTCCTTAATTTCCCCAAGAGAAATTTGGATGTTGATGTCATCCAGGGCTGTAGACGTTAAAATAGGGGTTGTTATTACCTCAATTATAGTTCCCTACATAGTTGATGGACTTATGATTGGTTAGATACTCACTCTCATTGTGAGTGCCATGTCATAATGGACATATTGAGTTGGTTGCCTTCACTTCTTTCAGCCTACTTGATTGTTGCAAATTCTTCAACATATTGTTGATGGTAGAAAGTTGGGCGGACACGGAATCCTTAGTATCCAACTCGAATGTCCTAGGATCTTTTCGCCCGGCTCCAAGCCTTGAAGATGGGAACTGATAATCATTATTGGCAATCCTATCTAGGATGTCAAAGGCCTCTGTAAGTGATTTATCTAGCAAGGTCCCATTTTTCGAGGCATCTAGCATTATCCTCGTGGGTGCATTGACTCCATTGTAAAACATTACTACTTGATTCCAATCTTGAAACCAATGATTAGAACATTTACGAAGCAATCCTTTATATCGATCCCAATATTCATACATTGACTCATCATCAGCTTGACGAAAAGAAGCAATGTTATTCCTCAGTTGAGTGTTTATGTTTAATGGATTATACTGCAACAAAAAACTTTTGTATATATTAGTACAAGACTCCATTGAGCCAACGGGAACACCACTCAACCAAACCCTTGCTTGTTCATGCAAAAAATATGGAAATATCTTTAAATTTAATACATCCTCGTATACTCCTTGTTATCGGAAAGAATCACAAACCTCCAAGAAGTTACGAATGTGCTTTTTCTGGCATCTTCATGAGGCATGCCACTAAACTGCCCTATAGAATTCAACATATTGAACATGAATGGTTTGAGCTCAAAATAGGCTTCCTGAATCTCGGGTGCCACAATTCTAGGATTTAGGTCGTCCAAGCTAGGGTTTAAGTGATCTCGAATAGCATGAGGCCTAGTTGCATTCCTTTTATTCAAAATTGCCTCGACATTCTGATCTTCTTCTTGACCAATACCTTGATTTCCAATTTGATACATGTTTTCTTGAGCACGTTGAGTACGTCTCCTTTGTTTAAAAATCGTTCAATCTCAGGTTCAATTGGAAGTAGTGGTCCTTTGGGATGTCCTCGAGTTATACACAACAAAAACCTGAAAAAGACAAGAAAAATAGCAAGTAAAACTATACAAAAAATGAAGAAAAAAAAAATGCTATGACAGAACTAATTAACTTCCAGTTCCCAATCCCCGACAATGACGCCTAAAACTTGTCCGGATTTGTGAGTATTAAATATGGACGCGAAGTATGTACAATTATATACAATCGAATAAGTAATAAAGTGATTAGTGAGTATCTCTCCAAAGGGATTGTAGGAAATTTATAAGTTCAATCAAAGAAAAGAACCACTTTATCTAATTATAGTTAGTTGATGGTATGTACTAATGAGAATGATGAGGTAATGTGAAAATGTATGTTGGTGGGGTTGGAATGATAGTGTGACGTGGCAGCAAATGAATATGTCGTGGCAAAAAGGATGGAAATGTCATGTTAAAATAAATTGTGTGTAGTGAAATCAAATGAAAATGTAAAGGCAAAACAAAATTTAAACACTGAATTTGAATAAAATGACATTATAATCCTCACACAACATTACTATGGAAATGAACGATAGGGGTCACTTAGGAAACTTAAGTTTATCTTCTCAGGATGATTTTACTTTTATGTCTTACTTGCTCGACAGAGTTTACTAAAGGTGCCATATGCTATCTCTAGTCAAAGGACTCAACATGTTGAGAATGCCATGGCAATACCTCTCGACATTAGTAGGTACATGGATCCCATCAGTTCAAATCAATAGAATATGTCACAGTAATACCACTCAGTGTTGGCACTAGCATTTAACCTCTCGACCGAGCACTACTCCTTTTAGTCAATTGAAATCCTAGACTTATGTCTAAGGGTGGATTAGGTCTAGTTATTATCTAACACCTATTGCTTATGTTAATCCTCCTTAGTTTCTCTCGAACACTAAAGATGAGTTACTTGGTTTCTCTCGAACACTAAGTAGTCTCATAAGGAATAACTACTCTCATAGCTCCTATAAACTTAAATAAGTAAGCACCATGAGCAAAATAAATAAAAACATTAAAAAAAACAACCATCCATTAAAGAAAAACTTAAGCATCCATAATGAATTCCCACCAAATAAAGCTAGTTCATAGTGGGGTTCGAATATTCCATGAAACAAAACATGAAATTCATCCGTTCCATACAACCCAAATATGATAAATGATAAAAAAATATCGAAGGAATGGAGAAAAAGCCTTCGACGCGCACTACCATAGCTCTCTTCAGCCACCACGAACTGCTCTAGCTTGCTAGCTCCTCTCGGACTCTTAGCTCGCCACTCCCTCAAGCTTGCTAATGGAGGAACACCACAACAAAGGTGAAGGAAAGGAAAAAGGTGGAAGTTTTTTCTTCCAGCCTCCTCTTCTCTATTTGCTCAAGAATTTAGGTTCAAAAGGTCTAAAATACAGTATATGTAATTTGGTGATCTCATTTCCTTTTTATAGTGGGGAATAAACTTAGGGATTTGTGTCAAAATTCCCATGATACCCTAAGGTTCATTCCCTTCACGTGAGGGGTGGTACAAAGGTGGCAGTGGTCTCTCCAAGGTGGCTGGCACCTGAGAGCACGTGAAGACAATAACAAATGACTTTTTATAAAAATATCTTCTTTTGTCTTTTCTGCTTTAGAAATACCATATGATTTACCGCGATATTCACATTTTGCTCAGCATTCCCAAATTGTCATGCCAATTCTACACACGCATCCTTGCTCCCAAATCCTTCACATCATCAAATAACGCACCTTCCCCATAACGCAACACCGTTTTCAAGATAAATTGACACGACAAAATATATATCCACCTCATGCAACTATATGGTCCTAAATGCATCTATATGATTCTAAATGCATCTATATGATTCAATATGAGCTTTTAGAGAATCAATACTTAAATGAAAAATGCCCTAGATATAGTCTTTTTACGGAGTTATCACTATTTTATTGAAATTTTCATTTGACAAATAATCGATCAAAGTAATCACGTCATTTTTAGTTGTATTTTAACCTCCGTACAGTCGAATCACCTCAATTTTTAACTATTATTATAGTTTTGAATTCATTATTTATTTAAAACTAAATATATTTTATATTAATATTTATTTGTTTATTTTATAGTTAAATTCAAATATTTTAAAATTGTTTAAACAATAATTTAGTCCATCGAATTATTATATATTTTCTCAAAAGTCTTTATCAAATGAGTAACTTGACCATTGAATATTATCTTTTGAGTTAAAATTATTCATATTATATATATTTAAAAAATCAATGTTTTAAAGTGTTTTTTTTCTTTTTTTAATATTGAGGTGATACAATTAGGGATGTATATTTTATCTGAGTCCGATGGGTTTCGATTTAGTCTGACCGGATATAATATGATAATTATCTCTTAAATATTTAAGAATAATTGTAAGACACTCTCTTTGTTATTATTTTTTCAATTAGGTCCTTATTTTATCTAATGAAATGAATTTATATATATATATATCGGGTCAGGTACGAATACTAGTTTTCCCCTAAATATCGGGTCAACTTACGGGTCAAATGGAACCCTTCTAAAACTGGTTTGAGTCAGATACAAGTGAAGGGATTTAATTTTCGAATCGAATTTGGATGAGCAAAAAACCTGACCCGATTCATGACCATCCAGACTAGTTTTATAATTTTATGGGTGTATCAAAATGGAAAAATTGTAACAGATCGACATCTTGAGATCCTAAATGATGGCTTTTTCTATTTTTAGATGTCAAGCTAACATAAGGTATAGAAATGACTAAATATGTAACACAAACTAACAGTGCTAATTAGGGATTAAGAGGGGGGGAAGAGAGCTTTATAATGTATGATGAAACAAAAGCCGTTGCAAGGTTGCTATAAATAACCAATGTCTCTTGTTAATGCCTATTTTCTTGGCTAACATTTGGGTCTTGAATTTTAATTATACCATCCCCAATTCAATAAACGCCTTGTTATCATCAGATCGTAGTTTGGGCCATCAACTTTTCGACGCTAAGCAAATGGGACGAACAAATTCAGGTTTGAGACTTCTAACCCTTTTCTTCCATCGATTCTAACCATTGTTATTAGGAAATGAATTCAATTCTATACGCACATGATATATGTCATTAAGCCTTGTGCTTAAAAATGAAATTATTGTTGATGACCTCAATGGTAATGGGATTGATATTCTTCTTAAAAAATTTAAATTCAAGTAATTAAGTCTACAAGGTGTTTGTAGGTATTTGTCAATAGAAATTGTTGTCATCTTAAACTTGAAATTTAGTTTAGCTGATGCATGTAATATCTCAAAAGGTGATTCATTTTTCCATCTTCAAGTTATGGTTTAAAAGTTTTAGAAGCAACCCCAACCAAAAGAGTTTAGTCATTATGATTCATTCATTTCTTAATAATGTTTAAATAGTTACGTCTGCAGTGTGTTGATGCATATTGTCAACAAAATTTTTCTCAATAAGTTTGAAATTTAATTTAGTTGATGCATATAATATCTGAAAAAGTGATTCATTTTTCCATCTTCAAGTTATGATTCAAAAGTTTTAAAAGCAAACCACGCAGCATTTTCATTTGTCATCGGAAACCAAAAGAGTTCAGTTATTATGATTCATTCATTCTTATTCAGGTTCAAGTAACTACGTCTGGATAGTGTTTATGCACAACTTGAAAATTAATTTAGCTGATGCATGTAATATCTGAAAAAGTTATTCATTTTTCCATATTCAGGTTATGATTCAAAAGTTTTAAAGCATCCCCACACAGCTTTTTCATTTTTGTCTTTGAAAACTAAAAGAGTTGAGTTTTTATGATTCATTCATTCTCAGTTTTCATTTTAAGTTCTTCCGTTGCATTATGTATCAGATCAGCATAAGAGATGAAAGGCTTGAAGGGAAGATTTCTGAAGAAAATCAAATTGATTCCTACTGTCAACACTTTGAAAAAAGGCTTTACCTGTACTAATCCACAACAACACGATTTTACCTATCAAAATCACCGTAGTCCGGTTTACAAAGACCAAGAGTGCAAAATCAACATTAATCCACCAGAACCAGTTATTGATTCTGAAGATCAAAAGGGTAAAAAAACTGGTTTGAACATTGATGTTGGCCACCAGGATACTAATAAGCCTACACCCAAGATAGAATATCAAAAGTGTAAAGAAAGTGATTTGAACACTGATGTTGGCCACCAGGATACTAATAAGCCTACACCCAGCATAGAAGATCAAAAGGGTAAAGGAGCTGATTTGGACTTTGTTGTTGGCCATGGAGATGCAAATAGGCCTACACCAAATATAGAAGATCAAAAGGGTAAAGAAACTGGTTCGAACACCAATGTAGGCCACCAGGATACTAATAACCCTACACCCAACATAGAAGATCATAAGGTAAAGAAACTGGTTTGAACATTGATGTTTTCCACCAAGAAATCGGTTTGAACATTGATGTTGGCCACAAAGAAACTGATTTGAACATTGATGTTGGCCACCAGGATACTAATAAGCCTAATATAGAAGATCAAAAGGGTAAAGAAAATGGTTTGAACATTGATGTTGGCAACCAGCGTACTAATGAGCCTACACATAACATAGAGGTCAAAGAGACAGTGATTAAAGAGGATCATTCTCCGCTTCCGGTCTCCTCTAACACCACTGTCAAAGATGAAAACATACCTGAAATAGAGAATAATGAGACTGAAGCGAATCCATATTTAAAAGATTTTGAAGAGAAATGTCCACCAGGTGGTGAAGATTCAGTGGTTTTGTACACAACAAGCTTGAGAGGGATAAGGAAAACATTTAAAGATTGCAGCAATATCAAATATCTTCTGAGCAGTTTCAATATTCTGGTCCATGAAAGAGATGTTTCAATGGACATGGAATTCAGGGATGAACTGTGGAGACTATTTAGTGAAAGAGTAGTCCCTCCAAAGTTGTTCATCAAAGGGAGATACATAGGAGGAGCTGATGAAATCATTGGACTGCATGAAGAAGGAAAACTTAAGGAACTCTTCAAAGGGATACCTTCAATACATATCCCTTGCAGGGAATGTGCCAATATGCGATTCCTGGTTTGCCCCAACTGCGATGGCAGTCGCAAGGTTTTTACAAAAAACGAAGATAATGATGAACTGTGCTTGCAATGTCCAGATTGCAATGAGAATGGATTGGTCAAATGCTCAGTTTGCAGCTGAAACACGTTTAACCCTTTTTACAATATATTTCACCTTCTTGTTTGCCCTTTCACTTGATGTTGTATACTTCCCTTTGCCTTTTTATCTTATAGATCTCATTTGCAGGTCTGGATATAGGTTGCATGTATATCAAGGAAAATGATGAATTGTTTAATATTTGTTCATCAACTGATATAAATGGGCTAGATCCCGAGGTCTTTGATTTTGAAATATCTAATTTTCTATTTAATTATTCCTTTGTTCATCATCAACTTTTGCTACGTTTTTTTTCTTGTGTAAAAGGACACTAAAAATTTTATACTGGTGCTTGGGAATACTTATAATGGTACATTGTTGCATCAGATTGTGATAAACAGTTCATCAAAGAATAAAATTGTCTAGTAAGAACATATTCTCCAAAATATATGAAGGTGTTAATAAGGTACTTCTTCATTAAAGAAAATAAACTGTAAATAACCTGGAATATAACATGATTCTTAAGTTATCTTCACTCTTGAGATATTCTAAAGAGTTTGGCTTGGTGGACCATATATCGAAGTAGAAAAGATTGAGGGCGGAACTAGGATGAAATTTTGGGAGGGGCTAATTTGCTTATCTTTGAAACTAACAAGGTTCTAAAAGGTAATTAAATAAAAAAAAGATCGTAGTTTAATTTTACTAATTTCAAAATTGTCATATCTTAGAAAGTAATTAAACAAAAAAGTTAGAGGCAAAACTTAATTTCATTTAACTTTAAAATTGATAATGTATTAAAAATAATTAAACAAATTTTTTTAAGAGGGTCAAGACTTAACTTTAATGGTTTAAAATTTTTTGAAAACTTAAAATACAATTAAATCATAAAAATGGGGTGGGTCATGTCCTCCTCCTACCCCACGTGGTTCCATCACCGGAGAAAGATGAGTTCTTTTTTATATAAGTGGATAAGATGAGTTTTCTTAACAGTTCCTTTTAGCATTAAATGTTCTTAGTTTATTTTGAAATTCTAATGAACAAAAGTTCATTACTCACTACTACTAAAAGCATTATTGTATTTATAACCAGAAATCACTCTCGAGTGTTCTATTTAATGTCTACTTTTGTAATTCACATTCTTGAAATCTATAGATAAGAGTCTTTCATAACTTAGGAATTTTTTGCATTTTTGAAATTTTAATTCTAAAACTATCTCTAAGAACACTCATTGACCCATATTTAATTTTATTTCCAATGGAGAATCTATAAATATTTTTTTAGAGCGGGCAAACATATGTTCATTCTAGGCCTTATTTTCTAATATCATTGTATGATCTTTTCATTGTCTACATTATTAAATATTTCTTTCTCAATAAAAGTAACTAACAAGTATTCGACCATTCATCTTCCATACGGTTGCGCAATCAATTCTTTATAAAGTACATCGTAGATAATGTTCTTTCCACTATTGCGGTTGCAACCGATAAAATCAAAGTCAACTTCAAAAGTAAATACACAATTGGGTACACAACATGTTTTATTGTCTCAACAATTTTTTCAGATAAATCAACAAGTCCTTTTAAATTACACAATCTTTCATATGAACAAATATCAACAATATGATTCTCAAGTTGACAATCAAGCACCACAAGGTCTGATTGTAAACCCCTAGATCCGACCTATGTGTTACGACCAGATATAGTAGATTATGATAAAGTTTTCCAAAACATTTCCAATAATTTTAAACCATATTCCGAATAAACATCTTTAAAATTAGATTTGATAATATAAAAATTCAATTCCAGTAAATAAAAGTCGTTGTAAGGACTAAATAAAAATAAAATATTCCAACATCAGTATCAAAGGCAGTATAAATCATAAAATCAACATTTTCAAAATATAGGCACATGTCACCCAAAATAAATGCAGCTCGGAAGATAAATACATTACAACAAAATATCAATGTACTAATGTGTCGATCCTCCAAATGTCAGGTCTGGGATGCCTATCCAAAATATCTGAAAGAGAGAAGTTTGGGGAAGTGAGCTAGGGAGCTCAGTGTGTTCCAACAGTGCAGAAATAAAACATATAGTTTAGATTTCAAAATCAATTCATCAATAAAGTCATGAAACGTCGATAGAGTTTCTAAAATCAATTCAGTTCTAAATTGTGAAAACGTCAGTAGTGTTTTAGCTTAAAAATATAGAATCGCCCTCTAACCGAACACCATATGCAATTCCCTAGAACTGCATCCATAAGGACTTACCCTAGGTCCAAAGGGCGTAGGTGGCAACCTAAGGAAGCACCTTGGGTACATAAGGTCTTACCTTAGTCGAAGCGTAGGTGCCCACCTAAGGGGAGTTCCCTCAGGCCCACAAGGACTTACTCAATGCACACAACAAATGAGCCACCCTAAAGGAGTACCTTAGGGTCCATAAGGTCTTACCACTAGGCCCATTGAGCCTAGAAGCCCACCCAAGGGTCGCCTTAGGTCCATAAGGAATTACCAACTCGATCGATATGAACCTGTATAAGGAATTACCAGTTTGACCAAAGCTGAACCTGCAGAGACTTCATACTAGATCCAGAGTACCTCAAAGAAAAAACATTTTTCAAACAGTAACCAATGATAGTAGGAAATCAGAGTTTAAATAGATATAAATTCAATAAAATCTATAACCAAAGAACATGAATCGACAATCAAGCTTAAATCTTTGTAAATCAGAAATAAGACTTTAAATCAGATAAATCATACGGACACAAGTCAAACATATAGTACATTGCAAATCAGATAAAATAGTCATGTGCACATGGTATTTCAAACATATATTTAAAACAGGTACATGACACACAAGGAATACACGTTGCAAAAAGAATCAGTCTGGTAGATCTACTGAGTATTGGCGTCACTATGCTCTTCAGTAGTAAAGGAACCTAGGTCATAATAGTATAGATTTATTATCAGAGTAGTATACTAAACTGATTATTTAATAGGTTTCAGAACTATACGAGTATTCATGGGCTCTTGCAGACGAGCGGATCAGGAGGAACCGGGCCGAGCAGTCGAACCGTCAAGAGATCTAGGAGTACCTTAAATATACCATTGCCCCTTCAGTTAAATTAGGTACGCTGAAATAAATACTTAATTTACATATGCACACTCCGGTTTGATGGTCAATTAAGAGTCTTTCGGGTTCGAATTTAGCAAAACAAACTTCGAATTTAGACTCAGAACGTCGAAAAGCATAAAATATAACTTTTTGAAAATTTTGACTTTTTCGTCAAAGTTAACGGTTAACGGTCAAAGTTAACAGTTCAGATCGGATCAGGTTGACTCAGGTCAGTTCAGGTTGACTCGGGCTGGTTCAAATTGGTTTGGACTGGTTTAAATCGTTTCAACCATTTCTAGAGGTTTTAAGGAGCAAAGACGAGCCCCACGCGTACGCGACGGTGCGTGACGATGGCGACGAGTTAGGGGACGGTTGCTGACTACTCTACGATCAACCAAACATCATTTGCAACACTAAGAACTCAAAAATTACCCAAAACCTAAACAAATAACCGAAACAAAATGTTTGAGAACCTACCCACAATGGATGGCGAGAATGTCGACAGTGGACGATGAACCCGATCGGGTTTTGGGCGCACGACAATGAGGAATTCAATGGTAGCGATGTTGAGGCAAAATGACGGCTGGAACGATTAGATCACGAAAAAATTGAGCGACAAGGTGGGGGTTTCGACGATGATTCAAGCGTCGATTTGCATTGATCGACATCGAATCACACTACGGTGGTGTATGGGCTTTGGTCGCCGATAGTCAGCGAGTCAGTTGAGGGTGATGGCGTGCTCCAAAGGTGGCTATACTGCGTTGATTTGATGAAAAGATCATGATGGATAGGGTTTGAGTAGGGATTTCACGAGAATGGGGATTTTGGGTATTAAAACCCGAGTATAAAACAAATAAATTATATATATATATATATATATTAAAATCATATTCAAATAGAGACCTAGGGCAGATAGTAGGGGATGGCCAGGCACACCCTAAGTTACGGGTTCAAACCTTCCCAGCCTTTTATTTCTATTTTTTATTTTGGAGTCAGGTGAGTTATGGGAAAATTATGAGGCTAGTCCTTGAATTTCCCAAACTTTTGAAATTAACCCCAAAATTTTCAAAATTATACATTTTGGTCCCTTAATTAAATTAATTATATTTAAAAATTAAAATTGGGGTGTGACACTCATATAGAAAATTCATAAGGATCAAATTGGGTAAGACGAATCAATTTTCTCTTATCAAAAGAAAGATAAAAATCTTTTGGACTCAAGCAAGCTACACAAAGAAGCAACTATATTATTGTCTAAGAAAAATGATTATTAAACTCTTAAAATTGTGTATTAATCACCTTATAAATAATTCAACATGAAAATTGAAAATGATGCAAATTTGAAACTTCATGAATTTTTCTCCTATACATCTTTGGAACAACAAATGTATCTTTAATCTTTGAACCCTTAATGTTATTTTTTTCACAAAAGAAAGAAACTTGTAACGTCCCAAATTTTTGAGTCAATTCATAATGGTTAATCCAAGAGCTCTATGAACTGATATGGTTGTTTGATTAGAATTGTTGGGCCGAATGAGAGCCTAATCAGATGCAATTAGAGCTCGATCTCGATGGGCCTTAAAAAGGAAGTTTTTGAATTTAGATAAAATATGGAAAGAGTAAAAGAGTAATTATACCATTAATAAAAATATGCTAATTTCTTAGGATTTTGCTTAAGTCATATGTTGGATTATTTTGGTAAAAAAATTAATTCTCTTTTCTTTTCCCTCATTTATCTTCTTCACCTTCTCTTTTCTCTTTCTTCCATAAATCTAAAACTCTATAATTCAATGTACAAGGTTTGCTTCTTACAAAGGGATATCAAGTCCAAATAACGTAAGATTAAGGTAATATGAAGATTTAATGAAGAGAGTGTATAACAAGTGGAGGATTTAATGAAGATTTTGGATTTTAAGGTAATATGAGCTTCATTTA